TCATTTAGGCTGGAAATGATCTTAAAGATCAAATCCAACTGTTTACCCAGTAGTACCCAGTCCACCACTAAAGCATGGCCCTAAGTGTCTTTTAAATACCTCCAAAGATGGTAGCTCAACCACTTCCCTGGGCAGCCTACTACAGTGCTTGACCACCTTTTCCATGAAGAAGTTTTTCCTAATATCCAATCTAAACCTCCCCTGGTGCAACCTGAGGCCATTTCCTCTTGTCCAGCCACTTGTTACCTGGGATAAGAGACTGAACCCCACTTCAGTACAGTGTTCTGGCAGTTGTAGAGAATGATAAGGTGGCCCCTCAGCCTCCTTTGCTCCAGCCTAAACACCCCCAGTTCCCTCAGCTGCTCCGCATAAGACTTGAGCTCCAGACCCTTCACCAGCTCCCACTGCCCTTCTCTGGACATGCTCCAGCACTTCAATGTCTTTCTTGTCATGAGAGGGCCAAAGCTGAACACAGGTTTCAAGGTGTGGCCTCACCAGTGCTGAGTACAGGGGGATGATCACTTCCCTGATACTTCTGGCCACACAACTTCTGATACAATCCAGGATGTCACTGGCCTTTTTGTCTGCCTGGACACAATGCTGGCTGTCAACCAGCAGCTCTATGTCCTTTTCTGCTAGACAGCTTTCCAGCCACTCTGCCCCCAACTTGTAGCACTACATGGGGTTGTTGTGATCCAAGTGCAGGACCCAGCACTTTGTCTTATGGAACTGTTGCCCTCAGCCCATCAATCCATCCTATCCGTATTCTTCTACAGAGCCTTCCTGCCTTCCAGTAGATCAACACTCCTGCCCAGGTTGGTGTCATCAGTAAACTTACTGAGAGTGCACTTGATCCTCTTATCCAGGTTATTGATAAAGATATTAAACAGGGCTGTCCCCAATACTGAGCCCTGGGAAACACCACCGGTGACTGGCCGCCAGCTGGATGTAACTCTGTTCACCACCACCACTCTCTGGGCCCAGCCATCCAGACAGATTTCACTCAGTGAAGAGTGCACCCAGCAACACCATGGGAAGCCAGTTCCTTCAGGAGAATGTTGTGGGAAATGATGTCAAATGATTTACCAATGTCCAGGCAGACAACTCCCACAGCCTTACCCTCACCTGCTAAGGGGGTCACCTTGTCATAGAAGGAGGTCAGGTTGGTCAAGCAGGACCTGCCTTCCACAAACATGCTGGCTCAGGCTGATCCTTTTGTTGTTCTGTATGTCCTGCATGATGGCACTGATGATGATCTGCTCCATGACCTTTCACAGGGTCAGGCTGACAAGCCTGTAGTTCCCTGAATACTCCTTCTGGCCCTTTTTGTAGAACCAGAGTAGGTGGAAGATGCAGAGCTGAGCTGATCCAGGGTAAACAAGAGCTGGTCTGATCCAGGGTTAGCAATCGCTACATGAATTGGCAGTTGGACCACATGGCCTAAAAAGTTTCCCTCTGATCAAATTCCTGTGATAAACTAATGAAAATGTTTGCTCATTCTCTTATGAAACATACATTAGTGTTCAGAGAGATTTTATTCAGAGATAAACTTTATAACTTTCCTAGAAGCACAGAGAATCTTGTTTCTTGCTCATTCAGAAAAAAAAAATCACTGTATTTTGCAGAACTACTTGCAGGAACAAAGTCTGAATTAACTTCCAGCATATTAGCAAATTAGTAGAATGGAATACTTAATTCAAGCAATTCTTTCTCCCCCTCCTTTCCCCCCATGCCCCCAGTGCACTCACAGCAGTCTCAGTTTCCAACATTAGACAAACACACTTCACTCAATTATGTGTTTGTGAAACTGAAGATTCCACTTAAGGATGAGTTATATTATTCCCTCAGGCCCAGGAAACACATCAGACAAATCTAACCTAGAATAGTGAAAATCCTATTGCACACCCCTAGCTCCAGTTTACAGTTTGACTATAGCATCAGCTGTAACGAAAAGCTCTGACACTGGCAGAGCAAAGATGCAAATCTTTGGTCAAAGTATCCAGGACAGTAGTTGCTACATCCTTGGCTTGGTTCCCATGCCTAATTGCACAAAGACCTCGAGGAGGCCAGGTGAAGGTTGGTTTCCAAACAAGGATGTTTAGAAACTAGATAGTTCCCCTGGAGTGCAGCAAGAAAGCTTTAGGAGGAGAGACTCAAGACCTGCATTTTGCTGCATGACGTAACACCAGATGAGGAGGTGAGACACCTAGGATGGAATGTATGAACTGTCGCTCCGGGTGGTCGGGGCTATTCATGCCCTTCTTTCTCTTCTTGGGGTAGAAAATGACAAAATGCAGTTCAGCACAGAAAGGGAAAAATGAGGTTTCCATAGAGAAAAATGCACAAGTGAGACACAGAGGTATATTTGTGTAATGCATAGTACAATTGGTTATACTGAAACATTCACAATTCGATTAAAATATAATTTGACAAGGTTTAAACAATAGAGGAGAAAAGGTCAGAAGTGGACTTAAGCTAGAACAGACTTAAAATTCCCTTTCAGTGCAGCAATTTCACCAAGCTGAAGTTGCCCATGGGCAGTTTTAATGAGTAGAGGCATTGCTTTAGATAAATGTTCCTTAATTCAGGTAGACAAAAATTAAAAAGATGCTTGAAGCAATCTTTCCTGAAGGGACATCCTGAGTTATCTCATTGTTCTTGGCATAAATGCCATTTGTTCTTTTCTCAGATATTCTGAATAGCTGAGAGTCACCTAATTTTATGAAGGGGTTTATGTAATTTACAACAACATCAAAAATGAGAAAAAGTCTTGGGAGTTTGAATTTTCCTTGTTAATTAAACTGAATCTAAAATTTCAGATGTAAATCTTATCACTTCCTCTATTTGTAAAACTCACCTGCATCAACAGTGGCAACACTGGCATCAACACAGAAACACTGTCAGTGCTCAGGACCAGTCAGCCCATCACTGGCAATGCTCTCTCTGTCAGCATGCCCACCAGATATGTCATGAACACAATTTTTTTATGCTGGAACAGATGCATTGGAAATGTCATAGATCAGAGCTTATTTAACAATTTTGAGGCAAAACCAAGGAACAATAAACACTATTTCTTCCTTTTTCTCAGGAGAAGAATAAGATTGCCTCTGCAAATGAATTACAAGCATCCCAAGAAAGCATTAGAGGACATGTGATCTCATGTTTTTCTTACTTCACACAAGTTCCCTCCTTTTCTCTGTGTCTCTCAAAGTTCATTGCTGACAAACCAGGAAATAGAGGAGAAAGAGCAGTAAATGTAGATAAAATAATAGACAAAATAGATTAATTAAAAATAAAATAATAGATTAATAAATGAAAACTTCCTTGTTTTGCCTCATAAACTTTTCTTCAGAGGAATTTTGGTGAATTGATGAGAAGTCTTTCTAGACAAAAGACATTGGCAGAAGTCATGATCTGTAGGACCAAGTGGAATTCAGTGGGATTGAAACTAGAAGGACTGATTTCTGATCCTGTCCTGGTATCTCTGAGAAATTAGTGAAGTCCAAACAATGGTTTGCTTGGATTCTCCTCCCATTCTGTTGCACAGAAAAATCTGTGCTGATGGGAGAATTCATCAGAATTCTTCATTTCAATTTTGCAGGACTTAATTTTTTTCTTCTAAGAAAAAATGGAGACCCTACAGATGAAATATAAAAAAATTAAACATATAAAAGTGGGATTTTTTTTGTTGTTTACATTTTTTCTCTGTGGTATAGTATAAGAAACACACCAAACAAACTGACATTTGTGTAACCCTGGGGGTGTCAATAGCATTTCACAGTTCTCATCTAACACAGAATTTCATTAAAAATGTTTTACTGAAAGGATTCCAGGATGTCTGTACCTAAAACCATATTTTTAAAAGTTTTTTGATTATTCTATCTGTAACAGTTATGCCTGTAAAATCAAGGTACAATCCCATAATTACAAAAAAATGATTACAAATAGAGCTCTAAGACTGAATACCTATAGTACTGCATTTACATTTATGAATAATATTTTTATAGTGATCATCCATTTGAATTAGTAATTCTATGTTTTCATTACATGGATTTAAAGACAGAAAAAGTTTCACATTAATTTCTATAGTTCTCCCTGTTCTGTATTCTGATAGAGCATTAAAAAGAACCAATACTTCTCAAATGGCATATATTCAAGGAACTTCATAATTCAGAAATCGCTCTGAACTTCTCCTCACAAAACACTGCCTTACTTAACCTATACATTTCAGAAAAGTTATTCCTGTTTATACCATGTGCTTACCTAGGATCTCTCATTGACAATACTCTGGAGATGCACCTGATTGCTGAGAATTTGAATATAAAAAGAATGATCTATAAAGTGTTGGCATTGCTAATGCACCTCATATCAAGAACAGCCATTTTAATGTAAAACCAACAGTAGCATGAAAAACTGCAGCACTGTGTTACCTATAACTTCAGACAAGGGCCTTGGAGACTCAGGCTGGCATTATTCACTCATGGTACTGAGTACTTGATACGGAATACCGAAAGGAGTGATCATTATTAAAACATTCAGGAAATCCTTCTACAGAAGTCACAGTTCTGAAATCTTCTTTATCCATTTGGTACTTGGAATATGATTGGCTTAGTCTGTGCTTTCTCGTGTGCAACCCAGTGAATGTTTATGTGCATATATTTGCCAGAACTAGGATAGAATTCTTTAAGAAAATAACATCAGTTATGAAGGGACATGTTTTAGTTAATTTAGAAGGAAGAAGTGAAATGAGCTGAAACATGATCTTTACGCATGACACAGAATTCAAATACGTACCAAAGAAGAACAATGTCTCTCTTACTGCTGTTCAAATATATAATACAGCCAGAGAAAAGAGCAATTTATCTTTGATAATGAAAGCAATAGATGTACTACAAAGGGATTCATTATTAATATTATACATTCAGTAACATTTGTGAAAAACAAGGTTATGAGAAATCAGACGACAGTCAAAACATTACCAAATCACATCTGACTCTTACCTTAGAATTTTATTGATTGCTGTTTCTTTTTCCAGAAGGTTTCTTGCTCTGATGCTGAAAACTGATTTACGGAGCTATAAAATTAGGAAAAAGAAAACATACTTTTTAATTGTCGTAAAACATAGCATGTGTATGTGACAGACCAATGAAACATTAGGATGCTGAATGCATGTAAAATTAAACACATAAAGTTCTCTATGATAAAGCAGTTTTTCACAGTCTGCAGCATGGGTGTTCTTTTCCAGGAAAAAGATGGCAGAAAAAAATCAAAATGTTTACATAGAGCAAATTCCTTGAGCAGTATCTAAGATCTTAGCTTCATCTTGCAGCTTTTGGCCTCTCTACCCTAATCCTTAGGTAGTTATGTGTAGAAAGAAGAAAATAGTTTTGTTGACTAGCACAAGTGTTATTTCCTTTATTACACACTTCATCTCCAGCTGGCCAAGTCATGCCTTTTTGCTACTCATTCTCCACTTTGGATTTTGACTAGGCTGGATTGTACTCTGGAGATGCCTTGACTATACAAAAGAGCCAGCCAATAAAGCTTAATTATATAATTTAAGTGCATAGAACTACACAGGATGAAAGTAGGCCCCTTTTTTCCCCCCACATATGTAGAGCAAAAAAATGTGGTGAGCAAAATATGCTTGTGCTTGCCTCTGGTCATGGACAGTGTTTCGGGCATTTTCTTGTGAACAGGCCTTCCTGAATGTGAAATGAAAGGACTGAGATACATGAAAAAACAAGCACTTAATTCCTAAGCAAGTGATTAACAAATATGGCAACTCAAGGAACAAATAACAACTGAAGAATTTAGCTCAGGAATTACATCTGTGATGAAAAGAAAGCCCCCAGCACATTGTAATACTTAAATCTGTCAACTGTTTAGAGATTGTTATCTTGAAGAAAATGGTTGAGAGAGATTCGGAAACTCCTAGCAATGTTTGTCCTGTTTTCAATCAATCTGAAATGGAATCTTTAAGCTCATTACTTTAAATTTTCTTTACATGTTTCTAAAACACTACCTCCAGCCATTTGACAAACAATTTTTCTAGAACTTCTCTCAAGACTCGGATTGACTCTGACTCACAGTTAGATATCTTACTTTGAAGAGAAACAGAAGCCTAGAAAATACCTTAACTTTTTAATTGTACCAGCTGTACTCAATAAAATGGCTACTGCTTTTAAGACACACCTGCAAGCTACAATCTCACTCCTACCCCTTCTCAAGCATGGCCCCTTTAACCTTTTTCGTGCTCTAACAAATCTCTGTACAGCCTGTGGGAGTAAAAACACAGATGATTTGAAACCCCCCCTATTTTGAGAATCTGTGGCTTCCTTAAAAAACCTGCAACTTGAAAACTGAAATAAAGTATAAAAGAAGGTAGTTTGGAAAATAAGGTATTGGATTTTCAATTAAGATTACAAGATTAGTAATAGGCTTGTTGACTGTAAACAAAAAAATTATTCCATTCCCTGGATATGGTTAACATAAACTGAAAATCACGGTATGAGATATACCTGTTGAGGAATATATTTAGTGCAGGTAGCTCAGTGTGAAGCTGGAGATTGAGCTCTGCCTGGGTGATGAGAGACTGAGACAAGAGGCTGTGAGCTGTTGACCCTTTGCCTAACAAAGGGCACAGGGACTTGTGGCCCATCCAGGGGACTGGACACTCAGAGGCATAGCAGGAGCCAAGGACCCCCAGACTTTCCTGTCCTTAGACTGTCAGGGTATAAAAGCCCAGGGGTCTCTTTGTCAGGGACCTTCCTCAGAGACACCAGCATGAGCTGTTATTTTGTTAGTTAGTTATTACACCATCATTAAATTATTTTAAGGATCTGGATGTATGAGACTGTGCTATGGTAAACCTGGGGTTGAGGTGGTAAGGAAACCTGGTCTGACTGTGAGTGTGGGGGCTGTAGCTGTGAAGGGGCCTCAGTCCCAGCTCAGATGGTGTGAGTGTGACTGCCAGAGTAGCTCCTGGATAGTCCAACAGCGAAGTTTCCTTAACATGCCATTATAATAAATATTGTGTAGGTATAAATATTTCATATACTGAAACATATTTGTGTAGGTTTTAATTCATTTGTAGTATCTCAACACAGGTTCAGCGGATTTATAAGCAAAGTACTTTATTATGGATTTAGATATAACTAACAATGCTGAAAGCACTAGTAACTCACATATTTTTTTCTTCTAACGTCGGTGAAATTAATGTCAGTGGAATCCCATAAAATTGTTTTTGCCCACTTCAGGATTGCAGAAAGAAGCCTCCAAACCACAGGAGTATCTAATTTACAAAATGTTAGGTAATAATTCTTTTAGGGCTCAACTAGTAACATCAAACTTATGGGAATAACAAAGGTGGAAACCCAGCAGTTTTGTTTCAGTTGTTTTTTCCTGTTATAAATAATTGCTTTAGAATAATTGCAATTACATTAAATATCAGAGAAAAAAAGTGTACTGGCTACTAACATGTTATATCCATTTATTCCTAATAAAAATTCTTGTTAACATCTTAGAAATAGAAAAGATTTCAAAATCAGGAAGCGATAATTTCCTTCCCAATTTCCAGTTTTTGCTCATCTGATTTTAGTAAAAAAAGCAGAGGCAAATACATTTTCCTGAAATGTCTACAGTTCCCTATCTGGCACAGACCACTTTTTTTCATTGTTAAAAGTAAGTGATAAAACACCTTGGCTTTAAAGCTTGTGGCCCAAGCAAGGACATTCACTCAGGTCATCAACAAGGGAGCATGCCCTGGAAAAGCAGAAGCAAGGAGTCTATATATTTTCAGATTCCAAAGGGATGTTGAGTGTTTGACCTGATTCACTTAGTGCTTCCCCAAGTGAAGCATTAAACCAGCTAGAGCCAGCAAGGAAAAAAGGACACCTCAAGAAAAGGTGCTGTCAGGTCTAGGGCAAGGGCTACTTACATACTACAAGGAACTGCTGAATCCTCCCTCTAGGTAGCAAGACTAACAAAGAAGGAAACACTGGTGTACGTTTTGCATAAAAGCACAGCACTGAATCTCTTTCATGCCTCAGCTGGAAATGGTTTGACACCCTGTTTTTGGTTTCTTCAATGAAAAAGCTTAGTTGTCTCCTGGAGATGAGCAAGAATAGCGTTGCACTCTGGTATATGGCCACCACAGAGCCATAGGTGCATCAACCACAGAGCCAGAGAGATGAAGAAAAGTAGTAGGAAGGAGCCCATGTCTGGGAACACTGAGATGGGAGAGAAAAGACTGGGTTCTAGTTCATACACCCAAAGCTGTTCATGAATTTTATTCAGTGATGCTTGAACAAATAATCACAAAATCACAGAATATGCTGAGTTGGAAGGGACCCACAAGGATCATTGAGTCCAACTCCTGGCCCTTCTCAGGACAGCCCCAAGAGTCACACCATGTGCCTGAGAGCGTTCTCCAAATGCTTCTTGAACTCTGTCAGGCTTGGTGATGTGTCCACTCCCCTGACAAGCCTGTTCCAGTGCCCAAATACCCTCTGGGTGAAGAACCTTTTCTGAGTATCCAACCTAAACCTTCCCTGACACAACTTCAGGCCATTCCCTTGGGTCCTGTCACTGGTCACCAGAAAGAAGAGATCAGTGCCTGCCCCTCCTCTTCTTCTCACAAGGAAGTTGTAGACTGTAATGAGGTCTCCCCTCAGTCTGCTCTTCTTTAGGCTGAACAGACCAAGCAACCTCAGCTGCTACTCATATGGCTTCCCCCCTATGCCTAAGAAGTCATGAGAATGGAGAAAGGGGTCAGAACACAGGGTGTCGCACCACGTTATGTGGGCAGAGTATATTTACTTTTGCCGCACTTTTTTTCGCCACAAGCTGTGAAATTTGCACCCAAGGCACCCTAAGGATGTCCTTGGGCGCCAACTATGGTCCATATCTAATGGACTTCACTTAGGTGAAGTTTTGAAGGTTTGTTACCATTCTGTTTGCTTTATGATTTTCTCTTTAGGATTCAAGAGCCTTTCCTTCAGCAGAACCCTGGTGAATTTATCTTGAGTTTAAAATACCCAGAAGCAGTAATACAAGTTAATATTTTTAGAGAAGCACAATTGATCCATTTCTCATATTTAAAGGAGTAAGCAGTCAGTCAAATAGCAACACACATATGTCAATATTCATGCTGAAGAAAATCAAACAATACCATAGATTTTTGAAATATGTATCCTTACTTCTATATTAGATAATTAAACTGAACTGTTCCCCGTTTAATTTTCCAAATTTGCATAGCATGCCAGGCAAGTGCAATGGAACTGTACAAACAGAAAATGGGGACGATGATCAGTATTTTGCTTAATAATGTCTAGATGCCACATGCTGGTGTAGAATGAAGCTGGCAATTAAAACCTGTGATACCTGCCGAGTTCTTGAATGTTGCAGAGGAAATTATGAGCAGTGTTAATGTATAAAAGACATTACTCAATCAGATGATGTGGAGTTAAATAAATACAGTATACTCTGCTGAGGTTATTTTAGGGATATCTGTTTAGCCTGCTGGGTTTTTTTATTACAGATTGTGCTGTACTGTGAGGACACCCTCAGTGTATCTTTATTAGCATTTCTTTCTTTCTTTATTTATGTACTTCTTTATGCAACCTATAAGTACACTCAGTGCAGAAAAAAACAGCTTTCTGCTATAGAACATTATTTTTTAGCATATGACACTGTCCTTAAATCACCTAACAGCATCTGATTACTTTTTGATATGTTTTCAGCATCACATTTTAAAGAACTCTTGCAGGTTACTTCAAACTGTAAGGAACCACTGCGGCAGGTCAGCAAATTACCAGTAGTATTTCCTGGATGAAAGATGTTAGATAGAAAGTATGTGCTTCTATGAAACCATGAATAAAGTTTGTGTTTTAGTTCCCACATTCATTTGAGCTTATTTACACACACATGCCCGTAGAAACAGAATTAGGAAATCTGCAGGTAATGCTTCTCTTCCACAAGTGCTGGCACCCTTCTCTGCTGCTGACTTTACGGCAGAAAAAATGACTCAGTCAAACCGGTGTGAACTTGGTTTGAACACTACACCCCATGAAA